CCTCCCAACCATGCGTTGATAGGCGTTCATCTTCTAGTTTCAACTCACAAGTGAACGCAGAGCATCATTCCTGCCCTGTCGACAAGCCCGTGTCCAAACAGGCGGTTGAGTCCAGTCCATCGGCTACCATTTGGAGCCCTCGATCCTCCTTCAGATTGGTATGCCTCAATGTACGCACACTGCTACAAATCGGTCAACAGGCAGCACTTTGCTGAACATTGGAGACCCTCTCGATCGATAACGGCTGCTTATCAGAGATCCGCCTAAAAGACTCGAGCTCTGTGCTCACTATGCGGTCTCCTTCAGGTGATACCAGCAGCACTTTCTCACTGCGCGTATCCGGTGACGATGCAGATTCGAGCACCGGCCAAGCCGGTGTTGGTATTGCCCTGAATCCCCGAACTGAAGTTGATTTGGTTGATTGGATTCCAGTCAAGTGTCGGATGTGTGCGAGCCGATTGGCTGGATCGTTCAAAGCTTCGAAGTCGCGTGGGATTAACAGGTGTCCATACGTCATCGCTGCCTACGCGCCCACCAAATGTAGCGAGGATTCGGTAAAAGACGACTTCCATCGACAAATTAACGAGCACTTCCGCCACAGAAGATGCACAGATACTGTTGTGCTGGCTGGGGATCTGAAAACCCAAGTTGGAAAATTATCCACTGATGAACTGCATCTGGGCGGCCAATATGGTATAGGCACTCGTAACGATAACGTTGAGCGGTTACTTCATTCGCATGAAGACGGTCGCTTATTACTTGTGAGCACTAATTTTCGACACAGCACCCGCCGGAGGGTGAGTTGGCGCCCACTGGCCTCGAATCAGGTTTGGACGCAAATCGATCATCTGACGTTAGTGAAACTATACGTGACGAGAGTGGACAGCCTATTCACAACACGGCAAAACGTTTGGAGCGTTGGGCTGAGCACTATGAAAGGCAATTCAATCGATCGGAATTTTCAGGTTTCTCGCCGGTCATTGATCGCTCCCTGTCCCTTTAGATCCACCCTTTCGCTCAGAAGTCGAGCGTGAGATCCCAGTGTTGAAGTTAATTAAAGCCGCGGGATCAGATGTTCTTCCTCCAGCCCTCTTCAAATTCGGGGGATCTGCTCTTGTGGATGATTTACACGAGTTACTAGTCAAACTGTGGGAGCAGGAAACTGTCCCAACCGATTGGAGCCGCTCCGTCACAGTCCCAATTTTCAAAGCTCACGATCGCAATGCGGCAGCCATAGAGGAATCAGTCTGATCTCCATCGCCTCCAAATTGCTTGTCTGTGTCATGCTTCACAGACTGACTGGCACACGTGAAAGCCAGATTCGTGAAGAGCAAGCTGGATTTCGTCGAGGTCGTGGCTGCATTGACCACATCTTCACCTTTCGTAAGTTGTTGGAGCACCGTCACATATATTGGCGGCCCACCGTTGTCGTGTTCCTCGATATCAAAGGTGCATTCGATTCGGTGGATAGATGTGCGCTTTGGGACTGTCTACTCAGGACAGGTGTGCCCGAGAAATATGTAAATATTATCCGAGCATTATACGCGCGTAGCTAAGGCAGAGTGAGGGCTTACGGCAAGCTGTCGCCACCCTTCAATATCTCCAGCGGTGTAAGGGAAGGATGCCCGCTGTCACCTTTCCTCTGCAACTTCGCTGTTGACGAAATCATGGAAAGCGCCTTAACAGGACACGACTTTGAAGGTGTGGATCTGCTCCCAGGAGAACGACTTCTTGACTTGGAGTAAGCAGACGGCATTGCCCTAAGCTGTGACAGCTCACAAACGTGTCAAGCTGCACTGGCTGTCAGCCGCTTCGGGCTTTGCTTTGCACCATCGAAGTGCAAAGCGTTCCTCCAAGATTGATCTGGAACGCCTCCTACGCTGACCGTTGGTGGAGATCAGCTAGAATTCGTTCAAAAATTCAACTACCTGGGAAGTTGTATCAGCGCCTGTGGGATTGAGGATGAAATCACGAACCGTATAGCAAAAGCTCCAGGCGCTTTTGCTAACCTTCGCCACTTATGGCGCCGGCGCGACATCACTCTTGCCCTGAAGGGTAGAGTGTACAATGCAGCGGTTCGTTCGACCTTATTGTACGGTTGTGAAACCTGGTCCCTTAGATCAGCGGACATAAATATGCTAGTTACGTTCGACCACCAGTGCTTTCGCAATTTAGCTCACATCTGATGGGAACACCGCGTGAGTAAAGAGCGTGTTCGACGCCTCGTTTACGGCACAGGAAAAGGAAATGAACCGCTCAGCTCCGTTGTTTCACGCACCAAGCTCCGATAGCTTGCCCACGTGTTATGCATGCCAGTCCACCGACTCCCGCGACATGTGTTGTTTGCGCGCCGGGGATGTGGATGGAAGAAGAGGAGGGGTGGCCAAGCGATGACTTGGTCAAGAGGAATGAAGGCCCTCACTTCTAAGCTGGCCTCGTTTGGAACGTCACGGCTCCCTGGTTGGGGTCCAAGAGACGGTGAACACTTTTGGCTAGATACACTTGCTGATATGGCTAGGAGCCGACTTCAGTGGCGTTCCTGCTGTGCGTTTCTTTGTCCCACCCCATCCCTCTTAGCCTCCCCCTCCAACCACGATCTGAGTATTTAGCATTTTATACTTTTGCATAAGAAATTATTGTTTTTGTGCTACATAGTAGCCGGCAGGTAGTCTACCGAAACGATGCCCATCCGTTACCGGTAGCTAAGATGGCTTGCACCAGTTGCAGTTTATTTCCTTTTTTCTTTTGGGTATTGCGGCACAGTAGCTGAGGTGTTTCTCACCTCTAGCTAACGTGTAAAGTGTGTGTCACTCAGATTGATGTCCCGTTAGTGACCTGTGAAAACGTGGGCACATCGATAAGTTAGATAGATGGGATTTATCTTCGAATTTTTCTACATGTGCACTGCTTCTCACTCTGCTCTTACTTAGCTTGAAGACCTACTGATGACATTTGAAAAACATGCGCACATTGGTGGGTTGGATAAGTAAGCTTTTTCCTTAGCCTGCATATAGCGCTTCCTTTCTAGTACAAAGCTAGATGAAAGGCATGAATGCCTGTAAGACTTGGACCCACTGAAAGGGTGAATTGTTGATGGCCGCAACTAACCCACTAAATTTTTGTACGCAATCCCACTTGCCTTGTGTTATCTTACCTCTTGTGTGAGGTACACCGTTAATTCTAATTTAGTTATGTTTGATGATGGATGCAGTTGTCAGCTTAACATTTTGTGGCGTTGTCATGTCTAATCACACCCACTATTTATAAATTACTGATATATACCAACGTTATGAATATTTAAATTACATTTTTCATGTACATATTGTCACTCACATCCTAACTTTGTTATTTTGCATTCTATTCCCACCCAACCGCCTAAACGTATTTGAAAGATTTAAAATTGTCGTAGATTCGGAAGAATTTAGAAGCGAAATCAAGGGCGCAAGAATCAATGGAACTGGAAACACGTGTCTTTGTACAGCAGTTTGCAAAATCAAGCTGCGTTTTCTTTGTACCTATGATCCGACCAGCTTGGCTGGGCCGTGTCTCACCTAGTTGAGAATCTACCAAGTAAACAGATCTGCTATTACAATTAGCGGATTGCCTCATGTGATGCACTAGAGTGGAGATTAATTTGGATAGTTCAAAGCGTAGTCTCGAGTGCGTTCTCTATGGCACAATGACAATGAACATGGAGAAGTGCCGGTGGGCAACTCAGTGAATTTGTGAGAACCGCACAATATCACTGGAAAAAAACTTTTTTCATAACTTTTAATAGTGGATTTTCATAAAATATGTACTTCACAGAGAAAAACAAATTTCAGCTCTGAATTCAGCATGCTCGATGTATATAAGGATCACTGTTCGCTTCCATGCAGCAACAATGTTATTGCGCAGTGTAAAATCGGAACTGCGTGGGTGAACCTAAACTGTGTTTGTGTATTCGGGTAAATGAAGACAGACAGAGGGAGAATACGTATCGGTCACATACTTCATGCATCAATACATTCGGGTGTGAAAAGGTTTGTGGAGGGGGATCGATAATATCTTAATGACAATATATGTATTATACCAGACAAGGGCGTAGGCCGGGTACTCGCTCGTTCGCAATGACTAAATCAGATACGTACAATAGAATAAAAAAGCAAGTCCGTCATTAGGACAACCCGCCCAAAAACGCGAGACGTTTGGAGAATTCCGTCCCAACGAAAGTAAAGTAGGCCAGCCCCAGATATTAAACAAAACATGGCGACACGACATAGCAACGTAGACGTTGACCGCGATCGAGTCAATCACAGGCAGATCACCGTGATACAGCGACAGTAAACAGTCGTAGAACGTACAGGAATTGACGCGATGGCTGTTTGGCATAGCTACGTTGGATTCGATGTGAGATCACACACAAATGCCGAAGCCTCGGTTTGCTTGACGAAGACTGTAAAGCCAAAATTAAACAGATATGCTACTACTATCAATGCATGAGTAACTCAACAGGATTCGTAATATCTCGATCCGCCGCACATCCATGGCTTCCGTTGCAATTAGTACAGGACTGCCAATGAACTTGGGTTTAGATAATTTTCCGTATTACCAAACTCCTCCAATTAATTGACATCAACATAGCTTGAGCATTTGAGTGCTCTGTTAATATAAGCCATGCCAATTGATGTTCCTTAATTTGTCAGTGATTTAAGTTACCTCTACCAGACCTTGACAGCCGCCGCACGACCTATTCGCGAGACCCTGGATATCTTCGATCATAACTACGACTGTAGAACAACGTACCATACGTCATTCTGCCCCATACGACGAAGCGTTAATGCGTATGACTTGAATTTTGTCTCCTGTGACAAGTACTGAAATGCTGTGAAGTTTAAATCAAATGCCGTGTGAGGCGTGCGAGGCATCATGAATAGATGCTGTACTGGAGCAACTGAATGGGCACTAACGTGGACATAGTGATACAAGGTCAGATCGATCACACTAAAACGGTCACATACTTGGTGTGTGAAAAGTGTGGAGTTCCACAGCGGGGTTGGTGACGCAGTTCCGAGTGTAGTGGATCTCCAGGTTCAGGTCGGAGAGCCGCGTCCAAAAGTAAGCGTGTCATTCCGGCCAGACCAGTCTGCACACACTGGTTGCGTTCGATGAGCTCCTGGGTTGTGGCACAAAATGTAGGCGCGTGAACAAGTGTGAGAGTAAAAAGTGGTGAGATGTTATTACTAATGGAGTGTCCGCCATTGAACCATTGCTGAAAGTTCAGTTCAATGGAGTTAAACAAGTTCAGGGATGTAAAGCTGACGGCAAAAAGCGGCAAACAAAAAAATTGTAGATGAAAATTTTTCACTGAGGCAAGATAGTAAGGTGTACGACATGCAGGCCTGGGCTAGTATACGCAATCTTAATTGGAAAGAAGCGTTGTCCTGAAATGGACTATAGTCAAATCGATTAGCAAAGCCGGAGCCGCATTGCATGCCATCAGGTGAAATAAGCTTGAATCATCCGTAAGCACTGAAAATCTCACTAACTAGTTGTGCAGAACACAGGTGCATCGGTAGTTTAAAAAATAAACATCCCTTAATGATTCATTCACTCGCAGATTTAGTACGTTTCCTTCCGCATTCCTCGGACCCCCCCCTGATAAGCGGCGTCCGGTTGCTTTGGCTACGTTATCGCGATACTGTTTTGGTGGATTTATAAGCACATTCGAATTATTTTCAGCAAACCTCGACATTATTCAATCTTATTTCTCATAGTGCAATTTCTGGAGTTCGAGTTGCACTCTGATTTGCAATTTCACGTCACATTTATGCCATTTTTCAAAATACCAAAGGAATCATCTTGGGCATGCTAGTAGAAAAGTGTTGGACAAACGAAAATGCTCTTACTCGGTTTGATTGCTTGGCTGGATTTCACATTTGGTTGGATTGATTGCCGATTCCGTTCAATATCATTTCATCCAAATTTTGTGCAAAGATTAGCCAAGGCAACCAGAGAATCATATAATGTCCACTGATGTAGTCCGCGGTCAAAAATGTTTAACTGTGAATAGTTCTAGACATACTGTCAAGCAAACTGGTTTAGATTTTACTCTACTCCTCTTGACCTTGACGATTCATTACCTCGCCATCCTAATTTTTCAGAAGACACGACACCAACTGAGGCTAATGATCAAAGGACTCTGTGCTCTGCTACCTCAAAAGACCCAGATGAATGTCCAATGGACAAGGAGCCATGTAAAACGACGACGGAAGAAACTGCGAAAAGAAGAGAAGCTTCCTGCTACTGACCAACTACAGGCCAGGTCAAGCAAAGCTCGCATCCACCATTCTCTAGCAGGAACCTTTTTGAATGACAAGAGATCAAATCTGGTGCTTTTTCCCGCGTATGAGTCTATTGCTCTGTTTTCATGCATGCTATGAACACGAAGTTGAGATTTTAAAGTGACAAGTTGATAGACGCATCGACGTGGGTGAGAACGGAGTGAAATTGGGACAAATCATACGCCTCTGCAAAACCCTGCTGAGAAGGAGGATCAACCTATGCGGGTAACTTTTGCGGATAAGGTCAGTCCGAAGTAAATACTGTCTCGGTCGATTAGACTGAGAGGCGAAAGGATGCTTGTTCATCCGGATATGGATCCAGCTAATCGAGAGCATCTCAAGTGTGCCATCATTGAGCTAAAGCGAGGAACGGGTGAGGAAGAAACAGATCTACGTATTGTAAACTTTGGGGTAGTTACAGCACAAAACTGAATTCGGATAAATCGGTGGCCCATTCCTCCGATATGCTCGGTATTTCCTACCACGGCCTAGGTGTAGGTTTAACAACGTCTGCAGCCTTCTCAACAAGGTGGGGGAACGGTGCAGCTACGTTGCGTTCGAGTGACCAGATGTAGTGTGACTCTCAACTACGTGAGTGAATAAAGTCGAGCTTAGTAGCTATTCATTCTTCGGCTGTAAGCGGCTATGCAATGCCCGCGGTGGCATCTTTCTCGGTATCCGGTCTTTGTGTGGCAGAATTTCGAGTGCTCCCAGAAGCGAAGATGGTCTGTGTGAGCAGTTGTTGGATAGATAAATCTCAGGCGCGGAGAGATGCGCGTGGGGTGCATCCAATCGTAGTCTCTGAGCCGTTGATTGGACTAGTTGCCACATCACCAAGACCACATGAGTCACCGCTATTTCTACTTATAAGCGATTTCGATTGTCATCGAATACGCTGGCCTGAAGTTGAACTTACCATCGGTTAGTATGAGACCGAAGCAAAGTTTGCTGTAATGATACTTGAAAATGGGGCGGTACAGCACATCTGTCAACCGCCGCACATAACACCGCGCTCAGCTCCACCGTTCTTAGGCTTGATGTTAACCAACTGTGAATAACCTGCACTTGACATTGGGACCCTGGATTCCCCGGCAGCAAGCAACCACACAAATCTGACCACCAGCATAGAGCTGCCGCTACAGTATTTCTACGCACTGCAGCCAGTTTACAACTACTGGAAAACGGAGTCATACGGTTTGACTCAAGCTGCAAACAAAGTGGATTGGTCTCTGCCGCAAACTGCGTCTGTTGAAGTTTGCTGGTCAGTTATAAACGATGGAGTAAACTCATTGCGTAACCAGTTTGTGCCCCTCAAGTCTCGCAAGTGGGATTGGTCAGGGAATATGACAAGCTGGCTCGGCTGTAGTACAGACTGCGGGAGAAATTCATTATCTCCGGCTCGATCGACGACTACGAGGTGTAACAAAAACAGGGAAACATCTGCAATAACGTAAAGAGGAGCAAACACCGACATTTCGAGGAATAGCTCGTAACGACTACAAAGACCACCCCGAAAAGAATCATTGCTTACGTGAAGCAGTGCCTGAAGCCGGCAGGTCACCTACCAGTGATAGAGAGCACGGAAGGGCAGCCTTTGACCTGCAGCGCTGCGAGTGCATCCGTGTTGGCAGCACACTTTGCTTCCGTGTTTCCAAATGACCAGGTGCCAATATTGAGTTCGACGTGTACCGACTTTACCAAACTCGACAGTCTGAATTGTGGTGTGGAAGAAGTGCGTCAACTACTCACCAACATTGACAACATCAAGCGTGCTGGGCCTGACGGGCTCCACCATATGATTACCAGGCCTTTATATCGCCTGCTGTGACCGAACTGTTCAACAGGTCGCTGTCCGAAGGTTAATTGCCGACTGATTGGAAATGATCGGTGTTAAGACCGATACTGAAAGGCGGTGACCCCAGTAAAGTGGACAATTACAGAATATTTGAAGGATGTTTGTGAGTAAGTTTCGTAGAAGGCAGAAGTCACGATTAAACTCCACACGAAAATCTGCCTCGACGGGGAATCGAACCCCGGTCCACGAATTTTCGGTCCGTGGACCGGGGTTCGATTCCCCGTCGTGGCAGATTTTCGTGTGGAGTTTAATCGTGACTTCTGCCTTCTACGAAAATTACAGAATAATTAGTTTGGCACCTATTTTGGCCAAGGTTACCCAGATGATTGTGAAGGAGAGTCTGTTACAGTTGTTCCGGTCAAAAGATCTCCTGAAGCCCGCACAACTCGGTTTCATGCCAGGCCGATAATGTATCACTAACCTGCTCGTGATGAGGCATGAATGGTTGCAAGCAGTAAACCAGGGAAAGTCTGTCGACGTGATCTACATCGATTTCAGCAAAGCGTTCGACAACGTGAACGATGAGGTCGTGCTCCACAGGCTTGGAGTGTGAGTTGTTGGTGGCTCACTGCACCAGTGGATCCAGGAGTTTATTGTTGGACGCTAACAACACTTAATCTCGAGCAATGTAAATGTTTGGACCCGATGAGTTTACACGAAAAGAATTCTTAATCCAACACTCAATTGGTCTTGATTTGATCGCTCAAATGGGAATATTTGCTTTGCTAAAGATCAGCATTATCCGTGATTCGCTGAATGTGGATGGTATACAGTGCCGTAGCGACTACTTCTGCCGCCCGGGGCGGACGTAAAGTTTCTGCCAGCTGGTAGTTGTAAATCCGTAATCCCACCTAACTGCGAACAGACCTTATATATTTGGATTCATAGAACAACAAAGCTCAAATTTAAAGTGCTGCTGTGAATGCAGGCATTTGTATGGTTACAATACTAGTGAGCAAAATTTATGGATACATCTTGCGTGAATTACTTGAGGCAATAGTATTGACAGCACCCCCAAAATTCAGTCCATTAGCGAATTCCCCTCTCTATGGGGAGAACTACCAATCTGTGAGCCTTGTCTGGTTCATTGACGATGGAAGGCAGTTCATTAGAAGCTTGAGTCTTGAGAACGCGCTCACACAGCTGGCTGTGCTAATACAATCAAACCTGTCTAAGGCGACCACTCAACGGACCGACAAAAGTGGTCGCCTTGCACAGTTGGTCGCCATAGACAGATTCATGCATAGGGATAGTACTCATAGGCGAAAACTTCGGGGATGTTTTTGGCTGGTCGCCATAGCAGGTTGGACTGTAGTTCGAGTAAGAAAGACGCGCAGCAGATTCCCAAAGCGATATGTCTGTATGAAGTTTAAATGTTCAACAGATCCATTAAGCTTTTCTTTTCCTGGATCTTTCGACAAGGAATTCCTCTATTTCTGTATCTTTATCAACTTCGCTAAACAACCAGTTGTTATCGGTGTATGAAAAACATGTTCGTTTGCAAAATCATGAATTTGTTGAAATCTACAGCATTTTGTCATTCAAACTGTTCATGACAGACAATATTCTTGTTTCAACTCATAGATAAATCATCGAGATAACAAACAATTCTTCTCCGTCCATTCGTTTCTTTCGGCGGATTCGACACTGCATGCTTACCCTCAACTCAGCGTAGTGTTTCTTTGATTCATCCATTGAAATGTTAAATATTTTCTCTATGCTGAAGAACAACTGTTAACATTGTAAACTTGACAGAACTTGCCGCACATCCAGCCTCTTTTGTTTAGACCTATCTATGCATCTTCGCTTCCCTTGAGAACAGATATCCAAAGGCACAGAAACGAAATAAACGGTAGTGATAATGCCTAGGTAAGAATTAGAGGTACATCTGATCTTGTGGTTGCATTTTCTCATTAATCCGCGGAATATTTCAGAGGAGTGACGAGCTCAGAGCATTTCTTCACCACACCCATTTGC